TTTTTTAATTTTTAAAAAAGTTTCAATTATCCAAGAAATTTCGTTCCACTTCACGATTGTGTCCCACCTTGTTTGTTGATTCTTGGACAAAAAAAATAATTTTTATATCTTTATGTTTGAATCCTGAATGTGGGGCGACATTTTTGAAAAGGTCAAGGGGCCGAATACGTTCGCAAGGCACTGTATCTGGATCCAAATCAGGAAACCTTCCTGAAAGTTCCCCTCCAGAGAGATGATTTATGTGGCAGTTCGATTCATTTAGTTTGAAAAAGTTTTGTAGCAAACTTAAGTTACAAGTCATGAATCAACGTTTCCCATAGGTCTCCCCTGTTTGTAATTCCCGGCATTTGTCAGAAGCAGCGGAACTCCGACAGCAAGCCCGTTGTCATGGGATGAGGGCATCCATAAGTTGTTCAGAGAGAGTAGTGGCTAGCGGTAAGTCCTGTAAAAAAGAAGTGTAAAAAAAATAAATTTGACACGTACCTGCTGCAACTGTGGTAGGCAGGCGTCACATATACCTGAGGGTTTTAATAATCCAATGTGACTTTCCAATAAAGTTGCCTGATTACATATGTAAGAGGTGCTTTATTGTAGACTGCTAGAATTGCTAAACGTTTGTATATTTTCATACACTATATATATACAGTAATATAGCGACAGTAGCTTCCGTTGGTAGAGCAAACTGGTCTTTGAATGGACGTGGGTTTCAAATCCACCATGACCCATGTCATCTGCTGCTCTCCCACACTGATGACTGCTGTCGCTGTGTCCCTGGCAAGACACTTGGACCCCACATTGCCTAAGCCCCGCGGAAAACCAAGGCCATGGGTTTTTCCCCTTCGAGCATGGAGAAGCCATCGTCATCATCATGTTAACTGTGTCCCACCCTTTCCACCTCCAAACCAAACATTTTGTCATAAATTTACAATGTTAAAAATGTTGATGATACTAATTCAATAATTACAATGGCTAAACAACTAAGGCTCTAACACAGAATAGTCAAATGCACAATATTGTCATATCCACACATACACCCCATTGTCAAAACCAAAACCAAAAGCTCGCTAAGATTTTTTCATCGTATTCAATATGATATAATACTGATGCATGACACCAACAATCATATGTCAGAAATCACACACTCTTGCTTTGTATGATCTTGTGAAGAACAAGTTTAATTCTCTCCGGTGTCCGCTTTGTCTGTCCTTGTTGAGACTAATGTCCAGAAAACTCACTCTGCTCCATTAGCTGCTTCGAGACTGGTTAAAGCCGCACTATCATCAATTTTTTCACTGATGGGAACGACAAGAAGTAACCTCACGGAAAAAAATAGCCGGTCAAGTAAAACTTTGGGTTTCAACAAAAATGTGATATAAATATAAGTGATGCTTGGTGGAATTACATAGCTGTCCTTGCAATTGTAGCATAATGAATAGAGATTCTGTATTGACCCACAAGCGCTGGGGCCGCTTGAGGAAATCATTTTGTCCAAATTCAGACTTTCTGTTCTGAACCAACCATACCCACTGAGAAGCATGGGGTAGAAATCACTATGCTTTGAGAGTGTATTTTTTTTCTGAAAAGGAAAAAGTTAATGGAACCATCATGTCTCTTTTGCTGGGTCTTTCAGCATGACAATGATCCCAAAACACTGGAAGGAGTGGTTTTGTAGAAGCATTAGTATATGACTTGGATCGTAGCCGCGCTCTGAATTGGCTGAATTGCGGTCTGACATTTCCCATCTCGACCGTTACCATGACATTGGTCCCGCAGCGCGTATGAAATTTCGGTAAAAAAGAAATAATGAGTGATGAACGGGAAGCATTCTCACAGTGAATTCTTTTATCCCGACGAGTTCGAAGAGTCAGAGGAAGTAATACACAGCAAATAACGACGAAAACACAACTTTTAACAAGTCATGAAGAGATTGCGACAACTTTGTTACAGACCAGAAAGGTAAAACACGAACGATTAGGAAAAAACCAAGTCGACATGAATCATACAGTACTTCACAAATATCTAAAAAGCATTGGAAAAAGACACAGAAGAGATTGAGAACTTCCAGCGCGCGACCCCAAACAAGTTCTCCATAGTCACGATTTTGACAGTTTGGTTGCATGTTTTTGCTAGTTTGAAACCCATCGATATTATGCACATTAAAAATAGTCCATATAATAAAACCATCTATTAACCACGCTTGCTCAGTCGGTACAGGGAAATATCAGACCGCGGCATTCTTTTTACTGACCGAGCGTGGCGAGGTCTGTGCAAAAAGAACTTGCGCTCGTTAAATAAGCCGTTCTTACGAAGATTTTTGATTGGCCCCTAGCCAGTCTCCAATCTCAACCCCATAGCAAACTTTGAGGAAGTTGAAAGTCCATGTTCCTATAGTGATACTTCCAAAACATCACTGCCCTAAAAGAGATTGCCTAAGGAATGGAAAATAATGTGAAAAACCTTTGTGAAGGAATGCAGAAAAAACAAATACTTGAGATGGATATTTATAATGACAAATCTTATTTTTTCTCACATAGTTGAGGCATAACTAAGACGAAAATATCTCAAAATAATAATCTCTCCCACTTTTTTAAGTGAAAGGACTTGCAAAATTGTGTGGCTGATCGGAAACCTGTATTGCCCCACTGTACTCGATGTGCCACTATACAAAAAATGACCAATAAAACAATTGAAATGATGATTATAGTTTTGATGACATGCACACGATAGAGAACTTCTTTACCTTGTGAGCGTTAATTTGACCTATTCCACCAACAATATCCAACCCTTATTTATGTGGCGGAATGAAGGCTTATAATATCAGCAATTAGGTAATGCATTCAGCTTATCCCACCCTGCCACCACGTAGGTTACATGATGGAACACACAGCACAGACCTGTGATGGAAAACTAAGTAGTTAGTGAGGCAACAGCCCTGAAGAAATGCACGGCGTTTATCTTTTAATCCAGTAATGGGGGAATATGTTTGATGCAGATAACATTCATATAGAGCACATAACGACTGCGTTATGTGCTATATGAATTGTATTTCCTTTTGAAAATAATACTTTGTTTTTGAGCATGTGATTTGAACTTCGATCAGTCCAATAAGGAGCCAGTGGGGCACTGGCACATTCAAAAAACGTCTCTCCATATTTTCACAATCAGTCAACCGCAATCAACAATGGATCTTGCGGTGATTTTGGTAAAAATCTAAATGCGATACTTCTGACCAGTTTTTTTGGATATTTGTATGTTGAAAAATCTTATGTTCTTTTCAGTAGTAAAACTTCAAGAAATTCCATTTGAAACAGATACAATAAGCATTTACCTCATACACAATCCCACTTATCTTTAGTAACTTTCTTGTTTGCAAAGAACTTGTGCTGATCCACAGAGAGATGGCTGCTCTGGTCACAGCCTTGATCTTTCAGCGGAACTTCAGGGAAAGTGGGTTTAAAGACACACGACCGGACAGCAGAGGGATTTTGATGGAGAAGGTCTCTTGCGGAATCGATCTCACAACCCTTCAGCTCAGAGGCCAATTTTTTGCACTACCAACAGACCACGGTTGTGAAACACAAAAGAGTCCATATAAAACATTAAAACAGACATGATCCCAGTAGTACAAACGTTCGTCTAATAATTTGCTCTAAAATGTTTTCAAGAACATGAATGCAACCTATTGCAACCATGAAACTGGCGATGTCCCCATTGGAAGCACCACAACACGTGATATGAGGAAAACCCACTTGCTTGAACCAAAGTGTGTTTCTCACATTTAATGAAAGTTCTATGAATGGCAGGCTCATACCCTGCTCCCAAGCGTGGTCATCGGGGATGTGGCCTCGAGGAAATTGGCCCCGCCGTCCGTAGTCATCGGCACGGGGTGTTTGGGCGACAGGGAGGAGCGCGTGGAGAAACAGTGCTGACCATTTATGTTGGGAAGCACTCCCCCGCTCCTCCTCCTGTGTTTATGAGACTGTCTACTGCCTCTGCAACGCTTGTACCCATCCACATGAGCATGAATAATATCCACTGAGGTTTAATGCACGGATTTGGAAAATGTCAGTAAGCCACGCTTTGGAAATGTATACTTCTACGATTGACCTTATTTGAGCTACACTCTAAACATATAACTCATCTCAAGGCCTTTAAAGCATACTACATAATGTTTTTTTCTCCAGTCACTACATTGTTTCCCTCATCAAAAACCGGTCATGGAGGTATTTCAAATCCTACCTCCAGAGGGGAGTTCTTCATTGTGGGTAGTTTAACTCCGTTCTCCCTGTGTCTACTTAGGTTTCCCTCTGACAGTCCGCCATGCGCCGAGTTTTGACAATTTCACAATTTAAATTACGTTAGAGCTTGTTTTTCAGTCAGTAATTTTTCAAATTTTGAAAAAAAAGAAAAATAATTCTGATCTTCCTCTGTGGTACAAGGGATATGCAGGCAAATACAATTATTTACTCTTGATTATTGTTGTTTCACCTTAACTAATTTCTACTTTTTAATGTAAAATGTACACATATTCCAGTTAAATTCTATTTGCATTCTTTATACACATCTCCTGCTGTTGTTTGATGTCCAACTGTGGATAGTGCTCATTTTAAATCCTATACTGCAAAATACTTTAACCGTAGAATAACAGTAAAAGAGCAGACAGCAGTCGCACAGCTCAATACTGTTCATGTTCTAGTATCCAAATGTAAAATAGTCAAACAGGAGTATTAGAAAAGAGTAACATACCTGTATCAACATGCTGCCCAGCACTATACTGTTTTCTTTCTTTAGTGATACAATTACTTGGTGGTATGTAAACCACAAATCACATAATAATAACAGAAGAAACACCAGCGAATATAACGATTATTTGCATCCTGCAAACAATGCCAATGTTAACAATAATGCAAGGAAAATTAAATTTCATACAAAAGTCATGGAATCTCAGTCACACTCCTTTGGAAGAGTGGGTGAACTGAGAATATCCACTGCAACAAAGCATGTTCCATCACAACTTCCAGCACCGAAGGTAGAAGAAAGATAAAAACAGTGAACTCATGAATCACACTCCTGTACAAATATCCTGGATTAAAGTAAATCAATGTTTCTTGTTTCCTAGCTCTAAAAAAGTTTTCTTTCTTAAGATCAGCTTTTTCAAACAAAAATGTGAAAAGAGAGGACCATCCTCACTCAGATGAGGATGGTCACAAACTGACAGAACAGTGTAAGTTACTGCTTCTGCAGTGTAATACAATCCCACTTATACCAGTAAACATTGACGCAAAACGTTGTGGCTTTGGGACAGGTGTACTTTGAGAACAAACTCCATATTGAGGGAATCTTGTATCTTTGAAATAACAGCCACCAAACACATACAGCACTGCCCCTAGCACCATCCAGGACCTCTGCTCCTTGCAAATCTCATCCATGACCTCTGCTCCGCACCATCCAGGACCCTCTGCTCCTGCAACCACCCAGGACCCCTGCTCCTGCCCCACCCCAGGACCAACTGCCTCCCTCGCACATCCAGACCCTGCTCCTGCAACCATCCAGGACCGTCTGCTCCGGCACCATCCAGACCTCTGCTCCCTGCACGCATCCAGGACCCTCTGCTCCTGCACCACCTCAGGACCAACTGCTCCTGCACCATCCAGGACCACTGCTCCTGCACCTCCAGGAACCACTGCTCCTGCACCATCCAGGACCACGCTTCCTGCACCACCCAGGACCTCTGCTCCTGCACCACCCAGCCCATTGCTCCTGCACCATCCTGGACCACTGCTACCTGCACCAACCCAGGACCACTGCTCCGCACCACCCAGGACCATTGCGCCTGCACCATCCAGGACCACTGCTCCTGCCCCACCCAGACCACTGCTCCTGCACGCATCCAGGACCACTGCTCCACAGCAGCTGCCCCCACGTGAGAACCAATCAGCTTCTTATGACCCAGCCAACTGGCTCCTCACACACTCTGACATTTGAAAAATTGTTGGTGTACTATAGCCCACAAAAACATCAACCCACAATCCATATGCTTTTAGTACCTACTGTTAAAAATAAACTGTAAATTGGCTGTAAATTCACAGAAATTGTCAGAGTGTGATGTTTAGGATTTTGGTTTCCAGAATCTATGTATTAAGTAAGTTGCACTTTACATCTTCGTATCGAACATGCACAGATTCCCCAGATTTGGGAGTCCTGTCAGAGTAAAATGAACAGCAGTTCCTTAACTTTTTTTGGAACACGTCTGTGCTCCATCGGCTTTTGTGCCTCAGTTGGTGTTTTGTCATTCATCAAACTTGCTGATGATCATTGCCTTGCTTTCAGAACATACAGTGAATTGTAACTGGTAATTTTAGACTCAAACATACATATTAAGTAAGCAGGCAGTTTCATTTAATAATTCTTTCGTTATACCACTATAAACGTTTTACTACTTATCAAAATCAATAATGCCTCCTCGCACTGTGCAGTGAAACAAACAATAAACAACATATATTCGTCCCTCCTATGGCTCCTTTCCTCACTGCTCTGACAGCTGTCTTCTCTTTTGAATGTTAAAAGAGACTAATTATGAGCCGCCTTAGGTCCCTGCGAATGACTCATAGCAGGCGCAGTGACCTCAGCGGCCACCAGAGGACAGTAGGCCACACACAGCAAATGATCCAATCACTGCTCTCCACTCTCTGCGATAGAGCTTTCTCTTTTTTGGTAACAATCTATTATGAACAGAGATATCTACGCCTGAGATGTTTGGGTAGATATGTCTAAATAAAATTGATCTAGCGGACAACTCCAAGTTTTCAAATGCAAAAGCTTGCAAAGGGAACATTAGAGTTATTCAGTTGTTAACAGATTGAAATTTCTGTAAGACAAAAAACTACCACTAAACGAATTCATATCAATGGCACATTTATTTTAACTTTGTAAGTTACAGTTGCATTTTTTCATTAGCCAATAGACATTATTGGAGAAAGTTCACAGGAACTAATAAGAAATGTTCACCGGCGCACAAGAATCTATTTCTACTATCCACCTGTCACACAACATGCTTTAATATTGACCCTTTGATGTTATCTCTCTCAACAACAACACGGAGGAGGAGGAAAAGAGAGAGATAACATCACAGGGTCAATATTAAAGCATGGTTGTGTGCAGTGGATAGTAGACATATATTCTTGTGACTGGGTGAACCATTTCTATTAGTTCCTGTTAAATCTCAATAATGTCAATTGGCTAATGAAAAATGCCAACAATGTAACATACAAAGTAATATAAATTGTCCATTGATATGATTTGTTAGTGGTAAGTTTTTGGTCTTACAGAAAATTCAATCTGTAAACTGAATAAATCCCTAATGTTTCCCTTGCAGCTTTTGCACAATTTAAAACATGGAGTTGTTACGTAGATCAATTTTAATTTAGACATATCTAACAAACATCTCAGGCGTAGAATCTCTGTTCATAATAGATTGTTACCCAAAAAAAGAAGCTCTATCGCAGAGAGTGAGAGCAGTGATTGGATCATTGCTGTGTGTGCCTACCAGTCCTCTGGTGGCAGCTGTGTGTCACTTGCAGTCTGCTATGGTCCATTCGCCAGGAAGCCTAAGGCGCGCTCATAAATTAGATCTCTTTTAACATTCAAAAAGAAAAAGACAGCTGTCAGAGCAGAGAGGAAAGAGCCATAGGAATACGAATATCTGTTTGTTTTATTTGTTTGTTCACTTGCACAGTGGCGAGAGAGCATTATGGTATTTTGATATGTAGTAAAAACGTATATAGTGGTATAACGATAGAATATAAATGAAAATGCCTGCTTACGTAATATGTATGTTTGAGTCTAAAATACCATTTACAATTCACTGTATGTTCTGAAGCCAAGCAAATGACATCAGCAAGTTCTTGATGATGACAAACACAACTGAGGCACAAAAGGCAGATGGAGCACAGACGTGTTCCAAAAAAAGCTTAAGAAAGGCTTTCATTTTACCTCTGACAGACTCCCACATCTGGGGAATCTGTGCATGTCGATACGAAAGTAAAGGTGCACTTACTTTACTACATAATTCTGGAAACCAAAATCTAACATCACACTCTGACACATTTCTGTAATTTACAGCCAAATTTACAGTTGATTTTTTAACACTAAGGTACTAAGAACAATGGATTGTGTTGATGTTTTTTTTGTGGGCTATAGTACACCACAATTTTCAATGTCAGGTGTGAAGGACCAGTGGCTGGGTCATAAGAGCTGATTGTTCCTCACGTGAGGGCAGCTGCTGTGGACAGTGGTCCTGGATGGTGCAGGAGGCAGTGTCCTGGGTGGTGCAGAGCATGGTCCTGGATGGTGCAGGAAGCAATGGCCAGGGTGGTGCAGAGCAGTGGTCCTGGGAGGTGCAGGAGCAGTGGTCCAGGATGGTGCAGGAGAAAATTTGGGTATTATATTATATAAATATATATAATGGGCCTGGGTGGTGCAGGAGGCAGTGGTCCGGGTGGGCAGGTGCAGTTGGTCCTGGATGGTGCCAGGGAGCAGTGTCCTGGATGGTGCCAGGAGCAGTGGTCCTGATGGTGCAGGAGCAGTGTCCTGGTGGTGCAGGAGCAGAGTCCGGGATGGTGCAGGAGCAGAGGTCCCTGGTTGGTGCAGGAGCAGAGGTCCCTGGATGGTGCAGGAGCAGTGGTCCTGGATGGGCCATGGGGGAAAAAGGAGGAAAAGGAAAAAAAAAAAAAAAAAAAAGGGGAAGAAAAAAAGGGGGGAGCAGTGGTCCTGGGTGGTGCAGGTGCATGGTCCTGGTGGTGCAGGAGCAGAGGTTCCCTGGATGTGCAGGAGCAGAGGTCCTGGATGGTGCAGGAGCAGAGGTCCTGGATGGGCAGGAGCATGTGTAAATGTGTTTGTAGTGGCTGTTATTTCAAAGATACAAGATTCCTCAAATTGGAGTTTTGATTCTCAAAGTCACCTGTCCCAAAGAACACAAACGTTTGCAGTCACAGTACTGGTAAAAGTGGGATGTAACTGACCACTGCAGAAGCAAGTAACTTACACTGATTCCTGTCAGTTTGTGACCATTCTCATCCTGAGTGAGGATGGTCCTCTCTTTTCACTTTTCTGTTTGAAAAAGCTGATCTTAAATGAAAACTTTTTTAGAGCCAGGCACAAGAAACATGATTTACTTTAATCCAGATATTTGTACACGGAAGGTGATTCAAGAGTTCACTTTTTTTTATCTTTCTTCTCCCTCGGTGCTGATGTGTGATGGAACATGCAATTGTTGCAGTGGAATACATCTCAGTCACCACTCTTCCAAAAGAGTGTGAACTGAGATTCCATGACTTTTGTCCCATGAATTTAATTTTCCTTTGCATTATTGTTTAACAATTGGCATTGTTTGCAGAATGCAAATAATCGTTATATTCGCTGGTGGTTTCTTCTGTATATTATGTGATTGTGGTTTACATACCACCAATTAATTGTATCACTAAAGAAAGAAAACAGTATAGTGCTGCAGCCAACTGTTTATACAGTATGTACTTTTTCTATACTCCTGTTTGACTATTTTACATTTGGATACAGTACATTAACATAATTGAGCTGGCGACCTCTGTCTGCTCTTTACTGTTATTCTACGGTTAAAGTATTTGCGATTATAGGTATTTTAAAATAGCACTATCCACAGTTGACATCAAACAACAGCAGGAGAATGTGTATAAAGAAAATGCAAATAGGAATTTACTGAGAATATGTGTAAATACATTAAAAGTAGAAATTATAAGAGGAAACAACATAATCAAGAGTAAATCATTGTATTTGCCTGCCAAATCCCTATGCTACCACCAGAGGAAGAGCAAATTATTTTTCTCTTCTTTACAAATTGGAAAATTACTGACTGAAAACACAGCTCAAACGTAATTTAAATTGTGAAATTGTCAAAACTAGGCGCATGCGGACCGTCAGAGGAAACCTAAGTAGACACAGGGAAACGTAAAGCCCCCCCCCCAACTCCACACAAGAACTCCCCTCTGGAGGTAGAATTGAAAATACCTCCATGACCGTTTTTGATGAGGCACAATGTAGTGACTGGAGTAAAAACATTATGTAGTATGCTTTAAGGCTTGAGATGAGTTATATGTTTAGAGGTAGCTCAAAAAGGTCAATCTAGAATTATACATTTCCCAAAGCGTGTCTCACGACATTTTCAAACCTCATTAAACCACCGGTGGATATTATTCATGCTCATGTTTTGGAGGTACAAGCGTGCAAGGCAGTAGACAACTCATAAACACAGGAGGAGGAGCGGGAGTGCTCCCAACATAAATGTCAGCACTGTTTATTCCACGCGCTCTCTCCTGTCCCCCCACACACCCTGCCGAAGACACGGACGGCGGGCAATTTCCTCAGCCACAGGCCCCATGACCAGCGCTTTGGAGCAGGGTATACCTGCATTCACTAGAACTTTCATTTAAAATGTGAGACACACTTTTGGTTCAAGCCCAAGTGGGTTTTCCTCATATCACGTGTTGTGGGTGTTGTTTTTTGTTTTTTTTTTTTTTTTCGTTCCAAGGACATCGCCATTTCATGGTTCAATAGGTTTGCATTCATGTTTCTTGAAAAACATTATGAGCAAATATTTAGACGAAAGTTGTACTACTGATCATGTCTGTTTTTAATGTTTTATATGGACTCTTATGTGTTTAACAACCGTGGCTCAGTTTGGTAAGCATTGGCCCTCTGACCTGAAGGATGTGAGAATCGATCCCCGCAAGAGACCTCTCCATCAAATCCCCTGCTTCCGTCGTCGTGTCATTAAACCCACTTTGCCTTAAGCCCCGCTGAAAGATCAAAGGCAGTGACAGAGCAGCCATCCACCCTGTGGACCTCAGCCCAAGTTCTTTGCAAACAAGAAAGTTACTAAAGATAGAGTGGGATTGTGTATGAGGTAAATGCTCATATTATCCTGTTTCAAATGTAATTCTCTTGAAGTTTTTACTCTGAACAAAAATTCAGATTTTCAACATACACAATAATCCAAAACTTGGCAGAATTATCGCATTTAGGATATTTTACCAAAAGCAACGCAGCCATCCATTGTTGATTGCCGTTGACTGACCTTGAGAAAATATGGAGAGACGTTTATTGAATGGTGCTCCAGTGCCCCTAAATAATTCCTAATGGACTATGAATTCAAATCACATGCTCAAAAACAATATTATTTTCAAACGGAAATACAATTCATATAGCACATAACGGCCTCGTATGTGCTATAAGAATGTTATCTGCATCAATAACATATTCCCCCATTACTGTATTAAAATATAACGCCGTGCATTTCTACCTCAGGCAGTTGCCTCACTAACTACTTTGTTTTTCCATCACAGTCTGTGCTGGGTGTTCCCATCATGTAATACAGTGTGGCAGTTGGATACCGGCTGAATGCATTACCTAAATTAAATGCTTGATATTATTAAGCCTTCCATCCGCCACCATAAATAAGGCGTTTGAATATTGTTGGTAGGAATAGTTCAAATAAACAGCTTCACAAGTAAAGAAGTTCTCTATCGTGTGCATGTCATCAAAACTTTATCATCATTCTTGTTTTTATTGTCATTTTGTATAGTGGCACATAGAGTACAGTGGGGCAAAACAGGTTCAGAACAGCCACCAATTTTGCAAGTCTTTCACTTAAAAAGTTGAGAGAGATTATTTTTGAGATATTTTCGTCTTAGATCAGCATCAACTATGAGAAAAATAAGTTCATTATAAATATTCCATCGCAAGTACTTTGTTTTTTTTCTGCATGTCTTCACAAGGTTTTTTCACATTATTTTTGCCCATTCCTCTAGGCAATCTCTTTTAGGGCTGATGTTTTGGAGCTATCACTATAGGCAACATGGACTTTCAACTTCCTACCAAAGTTCTGCTATGGGGTTAGATCTGGAGACTGCTAGGCCAATCAAAAATCTTGTAATAACGGCTTATTTAACGAGCGCAAGGTCTTTTTGCATAGACCTCGCCAGGGGGGGGGGGGGGGGGGCTCGGTCTGTACAAAAAGGCCGCGGTCTGATATATCCCTGTACAGACGGAGCAAGCGAGGTTAATAGATGTATTAAATATATGACTATTTTTAATTGTGCAAATATCGATGGGTTTCAACTAGCAAACACACAGCAACCAAACTGTCAAATCGTGACATGGAGAACTGATTGGGTCGCCCTGCTGGTAAGTTTTCTCAATCTCTTCTGTGTCCTTTACCAATGCTTATTTTAGATATTTGTGAAGTACGTATGTTCCATGTCCGACTGGTTTATCCTAATCGTGTTTTACTTCTGGTCTGTACCAAAGTTGTCAATCTCTTCTTGACTGTTACAAGTTGTGTTTTTCCGTCGTATTTGCTTGCTGTTATTACTTCCTCTGACTCTTCGAACTCGTCCCCCGATAATAAATCACTGTGAGAATTCTCCGCCGTCATCACTCATTAATTCTTTTTTACCGAATTTCATACGCGCTGCGACACAATTGTCATGTAACGGTCCAGAGATGGAAAATGTCAGACCGCAAATCGCAATCAAGCGCGCGTACGAACCACAAGTCAGATAATAATGCTCTCTTACAAAACCCTCTTCCAGTGTTTGGGATCATGTCATGCAGAAAGACCCAGCAAAGAGACATGCCATGGTTCCATTACTTTTTCCTTTTTCAGAAAAAAACACTCTCAAAGCAATAGTGTTACTACCCCCATGCTTCACAGTGGGTTATGGTGTTTCAAACAGAAAGTTCGTGAATTTGACAAAAAGAGTTCTCAAGCGGCCTCAGCGCTGAGGGTCACATACAGATCTCTATTCAATTACTGGCTACAATGCAAACAGCTATGTAATTCCACCAAGCATCAATTACATTTACTATCAACATTTTGTGAACCACAGTTTTACTTGACCGGCTATTTTATTCCGTGAGGTTACTTCCTTGACAGTTACATCAGTGAAAAATGATGATAGTTGCGCTTTCACAGTCTGAAGGCAGCGTAAATGAGCAGAGAGAGTTTACTGACAATAGTCTCCAACAAGGACAACAAAGCGGACCACCGAGAGAATAAACTTGTTCTTCACAAGATCATACAAAAGCAAAGAGTGTGTATTTCTGACATATGATTGTTTTGTCATGCATACAGCATTATATACTATTGAAACGGATGAAAAAAATCTTAGAGCTTGGTTTTGGTTTTGACATGGGTGGTAATGTGTGAAATGACAATATTGTGCCTTTGACTATTCTGTGTTAGCAGCCATAGTTTGTTTTTAGGGGCCTTTGTAATTAATTAATTAGCTATCATCAACAATTTTTAACATAGTAATTATGACAAAATGTTTGGTTTGGAGTGGAAAAGGGTGGGACACATACAATGATGACGATGGCTTCTCCATGCTCGAAGACATGGCCTTGGTCTTTCAGTAGGGCTTCAGGCAATGAGGGAGGTCAGTGTCTTTTGCCCAGGGACACAGCCGACAGCAGTCATCAGTGGAGCAGCAGATGACATGGGTCATGGTGGATTTTGAACCCACGACCATTCAAAGACCAGTGCTCTACCAACGAGCTACTGTCGCAATATCTACTGTATATATATATGTAAGAAATATACAAAGTTTAGTAGCAATCTAGCAGTTCTACAATAACACCTCTTACCTACTGTACATCAGGCAACCTTTATTGGAATCAACATTGTGATATAAAACCCTCAGGTATATGTGAACGCCTGCCTACCAGTGCAGCAGGTACTTGTCACACATATATTTTTACACTTCTTTTTACGAGACTTAACAGCTTAGCCACTACTCTCTCTGAACAACTTATGGCTGCCTAATCCCATCGACAACGGGGCTTGCTGTCGGAGTTC